GGGGGGGGGGCTTAAACAGCTTTTTATTACCATTACACTAAACGTGATCCAGTATAGACCCACTCTACTACTTTTGCAATTTCTATATCTTTGCAACTCAATGTCGTAGACCTTAGATATTTCAAACTATGAACTGTTATAGATCAAATAATATAAGGTTAAAATATTAAGGATTTTAATAATCAGCTTGCAAAGATATAGGGATTAGAAAATTTAAGTTTGTGGCAAAAACTCAATTCTTTTCAGCAAAAAAGTTAGAGCTCCTTGTCATGTTTTTTAGCAAAAAGTCCAATTTTGTCAGAACACCTATAGTATATATACTAATCTATTAAATGAAGTTTAACTTTAACGGTTTACTTTTCGATTATAGTTCGATGTGGGATTAACACATGAATTTCAACCTATAACAATATAACAATAATTGTTGTGGTCATATTTTATCTTTATTCACGAGCTGAATTGAATGAGTTTAATAACCTAAATCTATAGAAACATTTACTTTAGTCAGTTAACAAAATAAAAAAGTTTTAAGCTACAAGTTTTACATTTTTAGCATTAGCAAAAATTAGCCTTGAGTTCTTAAACATTTGATTTTTGATCATTCCATAACATCACCCAGTGTTAAATAGACTAAAAGATACACTAACACAGCTTCCGTGGCTCAGTTTTAATACAATTTACAAAGATTTTGGGCCCTGTGTAAAGTTCTGTCATTGTAAGCATAAAATGAACTTTAAAAAATATTGCATTTTGTTGATACTAAATGCATCTATTTAACATAGCTTGAAAAATTATGAATAGAACTTTATTTGTATGATTATATAGTTTCTAAAATTCACATAATAAAAATATATATATGTATCTTGCACATGTGGACAAAACTATGCAGCATGGGATCTTAAAACTCACCATTACCTCTCCCTCCCCAACATGTGGGATATTTTGGAGTAACTCAACTCACACAATATACATAAAATGAAGAATTATTTTATCTTTTATTTTTCAGCTCAGAGCTCTATTATCCCTTTATTTGTGCAACCAAATGTTGTAGACCATTAATATTTTAAACTATGAATTTATGGTTTGTAATGTCATTGTATGAATTCTAATATCAGCCTGTAGTAGAATTAGGCTTTCAAACAAAAAGAAACGTTTATGAACCTGGCTGCGAGAAACCTTGTCTAAGAATCTCCAAATGGTGAATTGAGAAATTTGAATAATTGGTATTATTTTAGGTCTACTATTTACAATGCCCTCATTATCAAAACTATGTTATTTTATATTCCTGTAGTTTTTTAGTTTCAAAGCAGTATCTAGCTGAAACGTTTTTAACGTCTTAATTTATTCAATTTGAGACAATATACTGGTGTTTTTAATTGTTATCACACCGCCTGGTGTTGAAATTTAAATTATAAACATTGCAAGCTTTCTTTGATCAAAGCAAGTGAAGCTGTCAGAACTGAAAGTAAAACATTCATAAAATTCGGAATGCGGAAATAAAGAATGTTGATTTGTGACCAGAAAATTATAAGATGAATTTTTACAAAACATTTCCACAAACTACATTATTATATGTTAAAGTCTACTTTAATCTGATGCATAATAGCATTTTAGAAATAGGAAAAAACATTTTTATTTTTTATCTTTGCAGCAAAACATATTGTTTCAGTCTATAATGGACGTTTTAAGTTCAAATTATAACTTTTTTTACTTGACCATGGTTATTCATATTATTCATAATATATTGGATTTTTTTAATTTTTAAAAGTTTTGTTTATCAACTTAAATGATGTTTAAGTAAATAAAAGGAAATGATAACATGTTTGTGAGAGAGAGCTAGTTCTTGTTTCTAGGTGTAATCTTCTTTATCTTCTGTAAGTGTAACGTTCATAACAATTTCTTATCTCCTCTTATAGAGAAATCAGAAAATACGTTTAACTATACAAACTATAGATTCTTAGAATTAAGATAGTTACATCGGCCATTATGAGACAGACTATTACGTTTTATTTGTTCTCTAATATTGAATTATTTACCAATAGCTTTAAAACAGTTTCTTGCTAGAAATGTAATGTAAAGGTTTTGTTTTCAAATTATAATTAAAATAATTTATGAAAAAAAGTAATACGAGTTCTTTATAATTGTATTTTTTTATAGATTATCACATCACCTGGTGTTGAAAATTGAAACAAAACTTTATAGAAATCGGTGCATTCATATCTGAAATATGTTCATTCAGCAAGTAAATATATAAAAAAGTTCTTGCAACACATTCACATTTTTCAACCCCTACATCTTTGCAACCTGATGATAAAAATATTTGATATTTCACGCTTAGAAACGTTTTTAAACACAACTTTTTAAACAAGAGGAAAAATGAAGTAACACAACTGTACTAGTAATGTCACACATATTTAACCTTCTCCAACTCCCTGATGACGGGGAACGTGAACACCGCCTGGAATCCTCGGTTCCGGACCTGGAGTCTGCAGAAGCCTCAGTCCTCACCTCAGAGATCAGCCTTAGCTCTGATACAGCTCTGGTCGACGATCTCATAATAGGATTAAGGGGATTGCCATCCCGAGATCAGACTCCTGGTTCACTCTGATCCAATCTATAACAATAAGATTACTAGTGACCTTATATACAATGTGATTTATGGTATCCTTGTATTTACACACATGTTATTAATAATAAGGATTATTGTCTCAACTTGTTTTTTGATTTGCAGACGACATATTAATATCTAAACTAGAGTGTGATGTTAAAGTCTGATTATTAAAGAAAGAGACTTAATCATATTTGTTACCAAGACTTAATGATATCTGCTTATTCAGATCACAGAAAAACTGAAGGAAACATTGCAAGCCTCTGGAGATTAGCAAACATGGCCAAAAATCTTATCCGAGCTGGATATATGTTCAACATGAGCCTGAGTATAATACAATTCTTTTGCAATAGGTTCAGACCAAAGTTGGTGATCCGTATTCTTGACCGACGCCATGATTCACACGTCCAAGATCCCAGACAAATACCCTTCTCCACAAACATTAAGATTATAATTTTATTTTTTACATATATCACATCACCTAGTGTTGAAAATAAGAACTAAACTTTACTGAATTTCCAAGGCCGGGTATGTAATATAAACTGGCAGATATGTAAATTTCTGCAATTTTATGTAAAATTCAAATTTTTAATCACTTACATTTATTATATCAGTTGTAATTTGTAACTGGTGTTTTTTTTTATAAAAAGAACAATTCGCATAAATTGTTAAGTTTTCTGTTATCATATTCTTTGTGAATTTTACATCATCAAGGTTTTGAGTTTCAACTGCAGACACAACACACATATTAAAGGCAGTAGGTATTCTTATGTATATGAGTTGGCAACACCCCCCCCCCCCATCCCTCCATTAACTGAAATCCACATGTGGGATATTTCTAAGTAATGTAAAACGTTTATCCTGTAAAGTTCACAAATGATGTGATCATTCGCAATTATTTTATCAAACAACATTGATATATATTTATAGGCCAAGTTTTATTAAAGATGGCTAAACGGCTGGACCAAATTGGCTGACATTTTCATAGGAAACCCATGGGTACCCTGGAGGTAACATAGGCTAAAAAAAGATTTTTTTTTCAAATGTTTTTTAAAATTCCACGGGAAACGCCAACTACTTCAGCTAATGTTTATATATATTATATTTATATAGCTATTGCTGGCCTAACGGTTGAACCAAATTGGCTGACAGTTTTTGAGGGAAATTAATTATTCAAAATTAGATTTTTAATTCTACGGGCAATGCCGTGCACTTTAGCTAGTTACAATATAATAGTTTTTAGAAATTAATACATGAAAGATATACTATGGGGTAATCTGGCTCATTAAAATGCAATCAAAATAAAAAACAAAAAAGCCTTCTGGGCCTGGCACATAATTGGTTATTTATTCAAATGATTACAAATTTAAAATTGTTTCGATACATTTTCAGTATCAGAGATACAATAAAAAAAATTTTTAGCGGAAGCAGTTTTTCACTTTAACATTAAATGTTAGATTGTCTATATTTTCAACTCTGTGTTGAGAAAAGAAATTCTAAACTTTACCGACTTCTAGTGAGCAGTTGAAATTTCTAAACTATAGAAGATTCTCAATAATGAACAGATAGACAACGGAATAACCCTCAAATCAAAACCGATAATGCAGAAAACTCTTTATTTCCTAAAAAAATGAAATGGATAATAATAAGATGAACATCTTTAAATTTTCTTTAAATTTACTTATACGTACTTGTGAGAGCAAGACTAGGAGTGTTGGGTTGCGAGGGAGGGGGTTATAAAGCAGAACATTTTAAATGAGTCATATACCATCTTCCATAGATTGTTTATACTTAATTAGTCAATAGCATGCAGGGATTTTGGATTTACCGGTCTTCAAGTGTAACCAGCCTGTCTATGTGTGCATTACTAGAATGAGAATATACAACAACCATATTATCACAAGGAAATAGCAACGAATGATTATTTGAGAAGAAGTTTCAAAATTCTTTTTTTTAAAGTACTAGAGTTTCCAACGATAAGGAAAAATCGATTCAATCTGTTTTGCGAAATTTTCGTGAAATAGAAAATGCAAATTTTTCTATAAAAATAATTCAAAAATTTCGGGAAAAAATTATGAAAAAAGTTTTGCTCACTTGTCCTTGAACCCAAGGTTATATTGCAAGGAAAGTTATTTCAGAGGTGTACGCATCTTTTTTACTGCGGTGTACTGTCTCTGGGTGGTAATGTAAACACAAGATGGATGTCAAAGCCTGACATCGGAACCATCTTTCACATAAAAAATCAATGAAATATTCTGGTCATAGGAAACTATTATGTGAATTATCAAAATTATCAAAATTTAATGCGTTTAACCTCCTCGGATACTATACTACACTGATGCATCTATTCTTGTTTACAAATTCCGCCCAGAGGTTTCAATGTGTAAAAAGAGTATACGCAACTGCAATTAACTTTCCATGCATTATAACCTTGCTTGAACCCGTCTGGTGCACTGAAATATTAGAATTAGGTAAATTCGGTTGAGTTGTAATAACTATGCCCTGGGGTCGTGGTCAAAAATGATTAAATTCTAGAAATAAAAAACAAATGTGCAACAAAAAGGGTTTCGTAAATTCATAACCCTATCTAGATGGAAAGAAGGGGGAGTAGCAAAAAACTTGGATGTAGTCTACAAATAGAACGAATGACATGCAAGTTAGGTACAGTATACTCTAAAAATGTATTGGCCAAAACAACAGAGGGAAATGCGTATTGTAACCCCCCCCCCCTCCCGTATATTAAAGTAAACCAGAGTAAATTACACGGTTCAATAAATTAAGGGCCACTAAGAAAAATTTTATGTTATTATGAATATTATATTAAATGTGTGTATTAGGTATTTTGTATTAATTAAAAATAAAAAAAATAATAAGACAATCATTTCCGACATCCTCCCCCTGATGAAGTCTCTTGGTGTACAGGCCCCCCCCTTCCCACCTTCCATGGTGTTTCGAAAAACTTGCCGAACACTTGCATATTTCATATAACTACGAGTGTTTATCACATATATTTGTAAAAAAAAGAGTGGGGGGGGAATCCCTTTCAGATGGGGGAATTAAGCTTAATTTTTACATACAGCACCTGATTTTAACCTTTACCCAAGAATTCTAAGGGTAGATGCTCAAGGGAGTAAGAAAACTACTACCACCCCCCCCCCTTTAAAAGTTTTACATGAAGAGTATACGCTATTAAAGATTTTTTTTGATAAATAAACAGTATCGAAAAGTATTCAGAAATCAGAATCTTAAATTCAAAAATTGTTTTTACTGAATGTTTTAAAAATTTAATTTTACATTAAAATTAGGAAACCAAATCATATTTTGCTTACTGAATTTTACTATTTAAATGATTGACCATTTCACATATGCTCTTCATCTTACAAACGATGATTTTCCGTAATAGCTATAAATCAAATGTTTTTTTTACTTTTAATCACCTAGTTCACTTAATAAAGTTTATTTTAAAGATTTAAAAAATTTGAAATTGAAATGGATAGTCTAGGGAACATACGTAGTATTAATTTACTCTGCTGCATATAATTAATGAACATTTATATAAAAAAAACTCTTTGAACTCACTCTCAGGCTTTATAATGCATAAGTTTATGATGCAAGGAAAGTTAATTGCTGTCGCGTATACTCTGCGTACATATTGAAACCAGTTCTCTCTGGACGAAAATTGTAAACAAGAATAGATAAATCAGTGTTTTATTAGTATCCGAGGAGGTTAAAGCATTTAATTTTGATAACTTTGATAATTCACATAATAGTTTCCTATGACCAGAATATTTCATTCATTTTTTATGTGAAAGGTGGATCCCATGTCAGGCTGTGACATCCGTCTTGTGTTTACATTACCGCCCAGAGACAGTACACTGTAATACAAAAGATGGGTACACTTCTGAAATAACTTTCCTTGCATAACAACCTTGCAAGGGACTGACAAAATTCATAATGAGGGATAATTTCCATTCTTTTCTAATCTAATCTCTGTTCTGTTATAATTTGGTAACTAACTATTTGGTTTCCAAATTCTCAGGCTATACCAAAAAATGTAAGGTTGTCATATTATTTGTAAGATTACCAAATTATTAGTTACTACAAATCCACCTATAATACAGTGACAATCAGAAAACTCTGGAATAAGAAGACGACTTTTAAAGGCAAGTTGTGACTTTAAATAGTTCAATGAACACGAGACACATCAATTGTGCAGTGTCACCAGATCCAATCCAAGTGAGTTAATAAGTCTCTAGTAAAACTATTTGCTTTGTAACTACATGAAATGCACTTCAGTTTCGTAGTAAAGTCGTTTTCCTATTTCACAGTTCTCACTGTAGTATTTAATCTCCATCTTGGAAATTGGCATAATAAACCCCAAAATGTAGGTGTAATACAATGTAATAAAAATACACATTTCGAAAATAAAATATTAGTAGCACTTGATTGTTGAAGAATGAAAGGGCCAACCTATTAGTCCCAGACTGTGTCAACCTTGTTGCACCAGCTAGTCTGCTTTATTTACCCAACGTCAGGGCGGTACAGTACAAATCGAACCATAGGGTTGACCCGGCTCGTAAATTCTAATGTACTACGGCTGCCCACAAGAAGGAAAGAAATTGACAGATAATTTTTTCCCTCAGGTAAATAATTTTGAAGTCATAAGATAAAATACAAAACTAACACTAGTCAAATGTAAGGATTTAAGATAAATTCGATTGTACAAAAAATCTAACCTTTCAGGGTTCATAAATCTGTTACCTAAAGTACCTGGGAGAACTCTTAAAGGTTAATTTTTTTTGTACAATTGAACTTTTTTTAAAACCTACATTTGACTAGTGCTAATGAAGTTTGGTCAACATATAATCTTATTCACCAGTTCTGGAGTGCTAATTACACTTAATTCCCTCAACTCTCTGTAGTATCTTTACTTTAGTGGTCAGTGGAAAATGTATCTCAAGTGGACTTCTATTCTCTGAGCGGACTTGTTAAACTAAATAAATAAAAATAAAATTTATTTTGTCTAAAGTTTTATCCTTTAAGATCAAAACTTTTGAATCTCCTGACCCAGAGTTTCACCAGCAATTATGGAGAAAAAACCTTAGGGTTTTATAATCCTGACTTTGGATAAATAAATTTATTTAATAGCAAACAGAAGATCTGCAGAAAAGACTGTTCTCCGAATCAAATAATTTATCATGTTCTAAAAATGAATATATTAATTAGATTTATTGTAAACATTATCTCGTTTAAGCAAAAAAAGATAATGTAAATTTAAAACGAAGAATTTAGAAATATTTTGGAAATCAAACATGTCAATTTCTTTACATCTTTATTCTTACTCACACTGCAAGTAAATATACATGTTTATTATAAATGCATTAAATCAAAATTTGTTGTAAAAAATAATTCAGTTTGATTATATAATTTGTGAATTTTACTATTTACATAGTAGTATAGAGAGATATTTATATATATATATGTATATTTCCATTTTAAACTTCACATTTCTACTTGACAAAAAAATCAATCTCATTATTTTTATTATTATTATTATTGTTATTATTATTATTATTATTATCTTTTTGCACGTTGTGCTTAAATAGATATATGTTAACTTGAGATGTTATGTACTTTTTCAAATCTCCTGTTTCAATTCCCAAACCAGAGATTAATTGCTTTTTTAATGAAGCCTATTCCTATTTGAGCATGTTTATCAATACGCCAAACAGTTTTACACAATTCTTCCTCTCCTATTTCCTTCCAACCCTGTTTGGTAGATTACATGCATAGATAAAGTAAAGATATTACAACTTAATTATGTCTAAATAAAATCAAAAATCAAATATAAGTTCCCTTAATAAAAACGAGCAATATTCTCTTATTGATTATCTAGATGCAACAACAGCCAAAGAGATGAATGTGCATGTTCCTCTAAGCCCTGCTGGGCATGTTAATATACAACTTGTTGACGAGAATCTCATGGACAGGGCAGTCTTTGCAGTATACAAGCACAAGACACAGGAAAATGATAAGTTATATGTTAATTTGAGTGAATCTGATTTAACTTTGACCATATATATGGTCTACTGCTCCCTGTATTATGGCTCCATATATATATGGTCTACTGCTCCCTGTATTATGGCTCCATAAATATGTTCTACTGCTCCCTGTATTATGGCTCCATATATATGGTCAAATAGTTGCTCTAACTCTAATATCATTTGGACCGTTTTTTATATTTAATAAAGTATTGTTTTGTGTTATTGCATTATCAATCAAATGTTCTGAAGATAGTTAAATTGAAGGGATATTTTATGAAATTCTATATGGTGACATGCTAAACCGATTGGTACGCCCGTTTTATTTGTTAAATTATCCTTCACAATGTTTGTTTAATTTCGCATCCTAACCCATTTACGAAGACGACTAGTAACACAGCCAGGGCTTACATTGTATCCAATAGTAATATTAGTTATAAATATTAACTATATCGAAAGATATTTTGAAATGTCGTTTTGACAATTTTTCAATGGGTTTTATACTATTTTACGCAAATCTAAGTATTTGCGAAAATAAATAAATAGCCATGAATATACGGGAACAGTTTTAAAGAGCTCCATATAATCATTTAACTAAAAACTATCTGCAACATTTCATTATCAGAAAGTGAAGAATATCTTACTTAACACCACATGATAGGTTTGGGCAAAAACATAGATTAATAACAATACAGATAGAACAGTAGAGGTCGTCTTTACAAGATTTACCAATTTTTCATTCACAATAACCCTGAGGCAGAAGTCAAAAGGAGTTATGCACATGCCACGTTTAAGGAGAAGACAGAGAAAGAGCATGCGCGTAACTCCTTGGGGCTTCTGCCACAGGGTTTTCGTGAATGAAAACCCCCTAAATCTTGAAAAGACGGCATCTAGTGTTTTATCTGTAAAGATGTGTCTATAAATATCTCCGCAAGATGAGCAGTGAAGACAGTATACTCTGTTTGTATACTGTAATTTTCTTGTTTTACTAAGTACAACCGTTTACATTGAAAACATAAACAAACAAATTGTAAACATAGCAGACAAAAAATTTACGGATTACAACTTTCTCAGTAGGTATCACTATACTAAATCAAAGAATTATTTAAAAAGACGATATCCAAATTCGTCCTGAATTCCCATGTTTATTGGGACACCCTGTACCAAACATTAAATTATTTAGTTTTTAATAGAAAATTGTGACATTTTTTTCAATTTTCGAATCTATCAGAAGTTCATATATTGGATGCATATTGAAACATCAATATTTCAAAACAGACTACACTTCATTATTCAAAAAAGTAATCTTTGCCTANGACACGAAATTAATTTGACTGGTATACAGTTAAGTAATTTCAGTCTGCAAAAATTTAAGTTTCTTAAACCTCTTCCTGCTTTTACCTTTTAACGTTGTCACGTGATACTCATGAAAAGTATACTGCACTGCTATTGGCGGAAGTTTTGGTGACGTAATACCCGACTGTACAGACTATACGTAATAATATTTTCAATTATATCTATTAATAATGCAAAATTAAAATTAAAAATTATAACAGGACCAAATCTTAGATTCTCAGGCTCCTGTATGATATAGTAGTTTTCAGATTGGTTGCGTATTGGTTGCTAATATGGTCTGTTTGATACTACGAAATTTATAAGAAATCTGATATATATAATTTGGTATAATTTTGACACAGTTTTATATCAGCAATAAATTTAATTGTAATAATAGATAGATAGATAGAGAGATAGAGAGATATATAGATAGATACAAGGATTTAACATAACATCTCACTCAGCATGTATATAACCTTGCATAGTCTATCTATATATCAATCTATCTATTAATCTATGCACAAGTAGAGTTATGTACGCACTTTGCACGCTTGTCCTGTGCTTGCAATAAAATCAGACTTTAGTTGATAGTCATGGATCTTTCAGACGTAAGCGCTTATCTCAACATTCTCAATTTTAGAACTTTCATTTATAGTTCAATTTTTTACCTCTAGAGGTCTACTCTCGTCAAATATAAATTAACGTTTTCATGAAAGAAAATGTATTAATTTTCCAAATATATTTACGTCTTTAATATTTATGATTTTAAAATGAGTTCATGGAATAAACTTTTAAAATCTTGTTGATTTTCACTATTCTGTTTTCAGTGATAATTAACATTCTTTTAAATCTGTTTTGCTGTGGTACGACTGTACCTCCAATCACCATGACTTAAGTCTCACTGGTAGTATTTCTTATTTGTATTATATGGATTAGATTCATAAATACATTACAGGAAAGAGTTCATAAGTAGATTGATAATTAATAAAATAAATGTAAGTTAAAAATAAGATTGATCATGATCATCACTGTATTTTTAGCTTTATAATTATTATTATTATTGTTATCATTATTGATATAACTACTATTATTATTATCATTATTATCATTATTATTATTATTATTATTATTATTATTATCATTAT